CTACAAAACCGTATACCATCGGCCTCTCTTTCCTTAGCTGTTCTGCTATCTCTTCCCACTTCAGCCTGTTCCTTCCACCCTTCATGTTAATATACCCTATGTCTGGATTGGTTCGGCGCCCGTGGCTACGTCTATTTCTGCCCCGGACTCTACCTATCTTAGATACTGGTGCCGCTTTAGAATCGTATCTGTCCATACCACCTTTCAAAGAGTCATCCTGGTTGTTTTCTTCGTTACTAGCTATCCTGCACCGCGAAGGGCCCGCTTGCCCACCAAAAAAGCTACTGCGCGTCCTGCAAGTCGCCAACCCACCTCATCCCCTAGCCACCCATCGAAGTGAATTCTGTCTCGTTGAAAACCACCCCACCTATGCATCTCTCTGTTTATTTCCAACACCTCAAAGCCCTTCTTTCTACTCATCCGCCATATATCTCGGTTTGCGTTGACAACCGCTCTTTGTATGTTGTCGTCACGCACCCGTACCTCCGGTATCGTGCATATCACTACCCTACCTGAGGAGAAGTGGCGCGCATGTCATCGACGCCTTTCTCCAGGGTAGTTGCTAGTCCTGCTGTATTTTCATTCAAGACATCCTTTAAACCACGTGAATTTATTACGAGGTTTCGTCTATCAGCTTTAGTTTTGAGTTTTGCGCTCGCTTGCCGCATGACTGCTTCCAGCTTGCGTCCTGGGAACCCTCTTCTCACCTCTTACTCTCTCTTTGATGGCTTCTGTGCATCAATTTGAATTCGAGTCCCCGGCGATTATCACATGCTGTGACTTATCAGCTCGAGCGTCCTGCACCTGGGGGTTACTTGCACCTGTGACGCCAGCTGCATTGTCCCCTCCCAGCCCCACCACTACTTCGCTGAAGCTGAACCTTGCGACAATTAAACCGGCTGAACCTGTTTTTTCAAACTTGATGTTCTGGTTGCCGCTGTTCTGGTTGCCGGTTCTCTACTGTTCTCTTCGTAGACCGCTCCTCTGTTCACATTGCCCTCGTTTTCCCTTGCTCTGTCGCCAACGCAGCCTCGAGCTCGGTGATTCTCATCAGCAGGTCACTCTGGGTAACCATCATTTTCTCCATTTTTCCTCGGCCTACACTTCGCGTCAGCCTCTTCTCCATCCACTTCTACACTTGGGTCCACTTTCAAACTCACTCCACATCATGAAACTTTACAGTCTTTTTAACCATGTCTTTCTGACACCAATTGTCCTTATACTCGATAATTACTAAACTCGAGCCCTGCACTACGAAAAGAAAGCCTAAGCTCTACTACGAAAATTTGCGTGTTCAATGTACGCGCACTTCCCCCATGGGGTTGCAAAAGAAAAACAACAAAAAATTTGAACACACACACACGCACTAACTAATAAATACCTGGTGACTGGCCCCCGAAAAAGCCGTACCATACAATAAGTGCTACGAAGATTTCAACTGCTGCCTTATAATTATAGAGACAGGCTCAAAACATGCAAAAACACTTATCTGCGCAGTCGATCGGGAGCGCTCGAAACACACGTCCATCCACCGTGACAGTCCGAACCGAACCGAACACACGCCTGGGCAGGTAGCGGCCTCCTGCGGTGATCTCTGTAACGAGCGAGCGCGCCATGTTCAAATCAGCTAATGGCTGATAGATGGACTACGTGGTTTTCGGGTGTATTGCGCGATTTGTCAAGAAAACAGAAAACAATTTTTAGCTGACTTCGATAATTTATTGTGCATTTTAGGCCACGTGCTGCGCTATATTTGGCTCGCGTGTTGTCAGGAGCCTGAACTACTGATCGGCAGCGTTTTCTGACCATGCTCCAAAAGTGTTGCAGGGCCCCTTTAAAATGCGTGTTTATGTCAGACCACTCTTTCTTACGAGACAATTGTTAGGTCGAACGAATCAAAAATGCAACATTGAATACACCCGTAATTTCTTATACGGGTGGTAAGGCACAGCTGCACTGACAGCCATGCCCCACAGCGGTGGTCTAGTTGCTAAGGAACTCGGCTGCTGACCCACCGGTCGTAGGATAAAATCCCGGCTGCGGCGGCTCATTTCCGAAGGAGGCGGAAATGTTGTAGGCCCGTGTGCTCAGATTAGGGGTGCACGATTAAGAACCCCAGGTTGTTGAAATTTCCGGAACCCTCCACTACAGCGTCTCTCCTAATCATGTGGTTGTTTTGGGACGTTAAACCCCACATATCAATCAATCAATGCACTGGCAGCCATGATCTAGATTTCGTTATTGTGAGTATTTTTTCCAAAAGAATGTTTTTCATTGTTCTTTGTGCATACTTCAGAATAAATCTCGCCAGTCAACATTTGATGTAGTAGAAAATTATGCTCGTGGCGCTTTTGATGTATACCGACATTGCATCAAACAACCAATGTTATTGAAATGAAAAAAAAAACAAAATGGTGTGGGGCGGTGCTCGAGAGAGAAGGCACACGATGGTCCTCGTGCTCCTCAATTCATTAATTTTAAACCACCTAATTTTTTTGACACACAGAGGCATTCTAAGTAAAGTTGCTGTGCAGCCTCGTAGGTGGGTCTTATCTTATTCTTCAGTTGTAACCGTATAGATCGAAGACATGCGCTGAATCGGCACTGGTTCGTGAGCTCCTAGAATGAATTAGGAGCCGGTTAATTTGCGTAATTTCTGATAAATGATACTCACCTTGGTACGACCATAGGCGAGCACTACACACTGCCGTTAGGCGTAGCTTTCCGTTGACTGCCTGCATGTACACGTTATTCGTTTGCAGTGGGCGAAGATAATGGCCTACCTGAGGCCCAACCGATGCTGCAAGGTTCGAGCAGGAGAGTAATGCCACTGTCTAAAGGGCGTATCGAAGGCCTACCAACACAGTCTATTCACTCAATGGTTAAGCATGGGCTGCTATAGGAAACGTTAGGAAGGCCAATAAGTCATTAGTATAACGTGTCAACGAAGAACCTGAGAACTCTTTCGAAACTTCGATAGCCCTTCCCAATGGAAGCCCAAGCAGTGCGAGCTTTCGTTTTCTTTCATTGTACTCACACTCATGTATAAAAGAAAAATTATACCATCTCGCACAAAAGGAAATTATCTGTGAATGAAAAGCAGCGCTGATGTTCACTTCTCTTTCAACTTGTTTCCGCTTGTGTGTTTCCGTGTAGGGTTCATGGAAACACTCAAGGGTTCATGGAAACACACAAAAAAGGGTCCCGTGTTTTTCGTCCTTAACTTTTTCGGCGAAGCCGAAAAAGTTAAGGACGAAAAAAAAACTGTACTAACACAGACAAAGCACCTTAAACAACCAAGTTTACTGAAAAACAAAACAAAAAGGGGGTGGGATGACACTCGAGAGAGAGGGCACTGATAGCAAACCATGCACGATCCTACCATGGTGCTATGTTTGACGGCATAGATAGCACCCCGGTAGGATCGTGCGTGGCTTATTTTCAGTGCCCTCTCCCTCGTATGCTACCGGACCCTCTTTTTGTCTTTTTTCAATTATTTTAGTTAGACGCACTTTCTCTGTGTTAGTGCAGTTTTTTGTGTCGTTCTTAACTTTGCAGTGCATCCTTTACCGACAGGCTGTTCCAATTAGCCCCCGTACAAACTTTCCTGAGTGAATACGCTGTGTATCGCTTATGCTTCCTTTATTTCTTTGTGTTTATTACTGTGAGGGTGTGTGCCGCAATGTGAACACCCAGCGCAGCGCGAAGAGTGCAACAAAGTGAGCGCGCGCTATACGGGCACGCAGCTGCGGTGCGGCGAAGAGAAAAATGTTTGTTGTTGTTGAGTGATTCTAGAAAGAGGAAGAAAGCACCTAATAAATGGGAACGGAGAAACAAACCGGAGGCAGTGCTCTGCCGCCTCCTCCACCACACCTTTTCATGCTCACGCGAGGAGAGCGGGAGAGTGTGGACAGTCGCCGAGACGGTCGACGGATACAGCCGTGAGCAAAGGCAGCTTCACATTAAAAAAATATTAGACAGCATCCAGATGCTCCGGCGGCGATCGGACAATGCTCCCCTTGAATTGAGAGAACGCCCACTTAACCCTAGTTATGGGTGAAAAAAGTCCAAATTGGTTGACGTTTGCGCAAAGAAAGCCATGGTGCGCGTCAACTCCACACACTTTATGTATGCTTGAAACGCGGCTGCGTTTTCCTATACGGTCATTTGCAGCTGTACTTAGGGTGACTTGAGGGTGTCTCAATGCATGGGCCAATGCTTTGGGTAGTACTGTATGGTACGAATAACTTTAATAACGTTATGAGAACCAGTCCAGGACTGAGGCTGGCTGCTCCCACGTCGGGACAGAAAGGCAAAGCCTCTCTGCCGCCACACGGGTCCTCAAGATAGCCCTGAGTTGGTCTGCCAGCGCATCACTGTGCAGCATTCGCTGTACTATGGTCTTTTCGGCAATTAGGATTCGTAGTCTGCTCCTGATTGTTGGCTACCAGCGTCTGCAAAAGGCACCCCTAGTTCTTCAGCATGTCTTTTCAGTACAATCATGACATACAAAATATAAAAATGGCGAGGATCATACATCACTTGTCACTTGCACAGCGCCCATTCACTCAGCATGGAATATTACTTGTGCAGTGCAGTTTTAACACTTTTGGTTGAGAATAAAATAATTGTAGACATTTCTGAACCAGATTAAAACGTGTGGCTCTAAGTCAGGTGCAAATAACTTGATGTCGGCACTATAACCAAGCCGTTACACTTCCGCATGATGGTATGATCACTTGCAACTGCTGTCAGCATGCATTGTGTTCCATATTCGAATGCCACACGTTTATTTACATTTTCGTTTTGTACACTTAAATCGCGTCCGCAATAAACTGCCATATGCTCTGCATGCACTCAAAGCTGCTCTGCTAAAGACTTCGTTTCTTGCGCTACAGTTTCAACCTAATTTAATTACAAGGTTTCCATAGAAGTCGTGTCTGCCTGTGAACGTACGTTAGCACCAACATGAATGTTGACGTGTTCTTGTTATTTCGCAGTTTGACGAGCGCAGAAAAACTCTCGCATTGAAGCCCACCTGTGATAAGATTCGGACATTCGTCGCTGTGAACAGCCAGCCCCTGGTTGTGGAGTTGACGGAGCAAGTGAGTAGTGGGCTTTTTCAATATGCTAGTCTGTGCATACGCAGTGATGGTGACATGACGCACGATGTGTGTGTTTTTTGTGTGTGTGTTTCGGTGATCTGCAATTGAGGCGCATGCAGTACGGACCTAAAGAAAGCCCATTTCTGTTTTTGTTGTGATTCACTAGGCAAGTATAGCTCGTGATCAAATTACTTGCATTATGCAGTTATAGCTGGCGCAAGCGCAACAGTTCAGATTATAGGAATACTGACTCCTCGTCACAAAGTTGCTACAAGAGTACACATCTCGATCCCAATTCAAGAACAGAGACACTATACTTAGGTTCAAAAACTTTTCAGTCATCTCAACCGACCTGAAGCTCCAATTAGGTTATGCGAGGTAATTCTGAAGGTGAACAACCATCTTCTTCATCTCTGGGAGGCACTTCACCGCCTAGTCCAGAGGTGTCAACGACAAAAACATAACAAAAAACTCAAGCACCGCCGAAATCACCCAACAAGCAAAGCAATATCTTGCACAACTTGCCAACTCTTATTGAGTGGACTGTTGCAATATGACAGCAGGACAAATTTGCAGTAATAACACCTGGTGCTTGTTCTGAGCTACACAAACTACCCTACAACAAGCAAAACAGAAACTTTAAATCATATTCAAAAAGACATATATGCTTTTGAATAAGACGTCGAGAAACTGGCAGATTAACTGTGAAATCAGCACCTCTGCACTCATCGGGACTCACAAGGACTTCCAAACTCGCATTCAGGGTCTGACAATACAGATCTCTATCGAGCTTTCAAACTTCACGACTTGCAAGCAGCCCTAAAGGGTTCGTGAAACGAAAATTTAAACTTCCCGGTTGCAATTCACCCTGATTTATTAGGAATCGGGCTTACCAATTTTTAAATATACTGCACAGTAATGGCGTCATTAACTTTGCAATTAATGACGCCGTTAGAAGTCGCAGTTTTGGGGGGGAAGCATCCAACTTGCTGAATGCAGCCGCCCGGCAACCGCACTGGTCTAGCGGCCACGGCCAAAAGCATCGCGGATGGATGGCTGGATGGAATGATGTGGCTGTACCCTTTAGATATAGCGGCAGCTAACGCAACCTAGCCGTAATATTTAGCGAAAAGCAACTAAGTTTATCTTTTTTTCCCCTTCAAATAGTGAAGTTTAGGACTGGTACTTTGCAGTGAAGGGTTTAATGTTCACTCCTGCCTTGACTTTACCCACCATTCAGATAACCTCCTTCTAGTTAATTTTACTCGCTTAAAGATTATTTCGCCCTCCCTGTCCCTACACCCCAGTGCTTTGAAAAACTCTGCGCCATCATCCTGAACTATAGGGTGAAGCCCTTTACAGGACATTGTCAAGTGTTCGGCAGTTCCTTCCTCCTATTCACATGCACTGCATACCGTGTCTACTATTTCTTATTTAGCCCGATATATCTCGGTTCGCAATATTCCCGTCCTGACCTCAAACAGTAGAGAACTACGTCGAGTAGATCATAGATCCTTTCCTTAGCAATTTTCTGCTTAAAAGTTTGATATATCTCTAGTGCGGACTTTTTAATCATGCCAATTCTTGAATTTCCCGTCTCCGTTTCCTTCACCTTCTTACCCATAGTTTTTTTTTTTGGTTTGGCCCCCTCCTGTTTTCTGAGTGTTTACCCATCAATTTTCTGGTTCGCTTCCTCCATTTCAATTGTATCAACATTTTTCATGTTTAAATAGCTTAAAGCATTCCTAGCCCGACGCTCCTCCCCCATTTAACTCAATCGCTTCTCAAATTTTATCTTGCTGCTATCTTCCCGGCCCTCAAATGATGTCCATCCCATATCACCTTGTACTCCCTGACTTGGTGTATTATCGTGAGCTCCTATTTCATGCCTACCTATTCCAGGTTGCTTCATTTCTAATCTTGCTTGAACACTTGACCTCATGCACAAGACCGCATTGCTGAACGTCATACCAGAAACCATGACCCCTTTCCATATTCCTCTCACAACATCATACCTATTGTAATTCCACATTGCCCTGTTTTGCATCACCGCTGCATTCCTGTTACCTTTAGTCGTCAGGTAAATTTCGTGTTGCCTTAGGTACTCGGCCTCATTGCTTATCCATACGCCCAGATTTTTGTATTTATTTGTTATCTCTAGTGTGACCTAATCTATTTTAAGCTCATTACCTTAATTATCATTAAAAATCTTGACTGCTGAAATTTCTTTACTGAATCTGAAATCTAATCTTTATCTCTCATTACCACAGATGTCCATGAATCTCCGCAAATATTCCTTGTTGATGGCCATTACACTATATCATCTGTGTACAATAATGGTGGTAGTGCAAGTTCCATGAGTTTTCCTTGTTTGATGAAAGAGAGGTTGAAGCCCAGTTTATTTCCCTCTAACTTGGACTCTAATCCTTGTAGGTACATCATGAATAACAAGGGTGACAGAGGACACCCCTGCTTAAGCCCCCATTTTGCCTCTCTGGGCTTGAATACCTTTTTCCCATTTTAAAACTACATTGTTACTTTTATAGGTATTTCTTTAAATATTAGTGACTCCATTTTTCACACCCAGTGTGTCCAGTATTCCCCACAAGTCCTCTTGAACCACTCTATCATAGGCTCCCTTCATATTCAAAAATGCTAGCCACAGGGGCCGGCGTTCCTTTTCTGCTATTTCGATGCACAAAGGGGAGGAGAGCGGCTTTCATCTTGAAATTTGACCCATTTGCGCGGCGCGTAGCGTTGTAAATTTTGGCAGACGTGATCATGAACGCCTCGTCTACGCATTGCCCTTGTCAGCTCAAAATTGTCAAACCTGGTGAGTGACCCTTTATTGTATGAATGCGAAAATTCCACCCCCTCCCTGTTTGCTGCCTTCTGTTCTATTGCAATATTCCCATACGTAGTCCAGATCGCACGGTGGTTGCTCTATGTCCCGAAGATGTGTCTCCACAACCCCATATACCATCCGCTCCTTCTGCCTCAACTGCTGTTCTATCTCTTCCCACTTTAACCTATTCCTGCCACCTTGCATGGTAATGTAGCCTATGTCTGACTTAGCTTAGACCTTGTGCTTTCGTCGATTTCTTCTACCATGTACCTTATGTGGCATGAGTGTTTGTGCACCTTTAGAACCGTCTTTGGCTACACTCTTGGCCTCGGGGTTCTGGGTAAACCATAAAAAAGCTGTGGCTTGGTGACCCATCCTATTACCACCCTCCTGCCCATCGTACTACTGTAGATAATACTATCCTGTGCAAAGGCGCGAGCGTTGGGCTCGTACACGTCTTGGTTCACCTCGATTAGGCTGTATCCGAGTTTTCGGCTTATACCCTTGATCACACAGTTTACCTCCACTACCCTCCTTTCAATCTCATGGGACTGCCCCAATATTTCTGGGACTGTGCACACGCTCACATCCACACTTCCAGAGGCATTTAGGAGCTTACGCAGCCCATCCTCTAACTGTTTCTGAATTTTGTGATCCTTGCCCTTTAACACATCATTGAGCCCCGCATGAATAATGACGAGATTTTCGCCCTCCATGCTGTCTTTAACAACCTTCCTAGCTTTGGCCAGTGCATAAACCATGCTCTTTCCTGACTGGGCCTCCACTCTCACTTTCCCATCTTCCTTCACTGTCGTGAAGAGGCCATCTGTGGTAAAAAAACGCTGCCCTGGAGAGTGTGCGTCATGTTTGACGTAGAAAATTGGTGTGCGGGGCCGATTTAGTATTTCAGGGTGCGCGGGAATCATCATGATGGTGATAGCGGTAAAACTATGAGCTCACCTATGCGCGTGCTTGTGCGCGTACCACGTGAAAAGCTACCCGTGTCGTGCGCGTACCACGAGCCACGGGGACAGCTCGGCTAACCCCAGAGAGCAGAGAGCAAGGACAAGTTCGGGCCACGCCCCGGCTGCTCGTTCTGGCCCTCCGTATCCGGGCCTCGTCTCGGCGTTGAAGTCCTCGGGTGCGTCCTAGACTGGGCGTCGCCCAACCTCACCCCCACGTTGGTCTGAAGCAACGTTCGTCACGGCCTGCTGCTGTTCTGCTCTCGGAGCGAGACGCTGTCCCAGGTCTGTTCGCGGCAGTCGGCGGTACGCTGTTCTCGGTGGTGTACAGACAAGCCCAGGCGTTGACCACCGTACTGGGATGCCCCTGGCGGTTATCTTCTAGACCGGGCCCCGCCTTGGTACGAACTCCGCAAGCACAAGGCACACCGCCTCCTGACTACCAGAGAGCTCAAGGTCAAGCGCAACGTTCACGCCCCAAGAGTAGAATGTGAGTGAACGAACAAGAACATTAACTCCCTTTCGCGTAGGACCGTGAACGCATGTATATATGTGTGAGATTATGTTGTGTGTATCCATTTGTCCATCTTCGTGTATATAAAAGTCTCTCGTTGTCCTCGAACGTCCTCTGTCCTCATCTGGCTAACCTGTGCCCACAGTTGCCCACAAATTTTGGCGAGCCTGCCAGGATAGATCGGCCTTACCTTCTTGCCGAGAGGCAGACGGGCGGGACGAACCGATAGATTTAGAGAAATTGTACGCGATCGGAACGGACATGGGTCTAACAGGATCGGCACTGCAGGAATGGGTTGACGCGGAGCGCGTTATCGAAAGGGAGTTATTGTTCTTGTTCATCCACTCACATTCTACTCTTGGGGCGTGAACGTTGCGCTTGACCTTGAGCTCTCTAGTAGTCAGGAGGCGGTGTGCCTTGTGCTTGCGGAGTTCGTACTGAGGCGGGGCCCGGTCTAGAAGATAGCCGCCAGGGGCATCCCAGTACGGTTGGTCAATGCCTGGGCTTGCCTGTACACCACCGAGAACAGCGTACCGCCGACTGCCGCGAACAGACCTGGGACAGCGTCTTGCTCCGAGACAAGAACAGCAGCTGGCCGTGGCGAATGTTGCTTCAGACCAACGTGGGGTTGAGGTGGGGCGACGCCTAGTCCAGCACGCACCCGAGGACTTCAACGCCG